CCGATTTCTGTGCCATCCGGGGATAGATCTGACGGACGCCGAGGTGAGACGCCCTTAGCTCAATTCTCCGTGTGGAAAGTGGTCGATAGAAACTCCCTTCCAGGGGCTCGTAGTCCGGTAGGTTGTTGTGGTTTAGTGCTTGTAGGAAGGGATTCTTAAATGACGAGAGTGAAATAACTCTGCAGCTATCAAAAAGTGAGTCAAAGGACCGCTAGTCATTGCGAGCCTGGAGTTGGGCAGTCTGATCACCTTGTAGCTACATGAAATATAGCCAAGCCGGGGGGGCGGTGTCTGCCACGGCTGAATCTTACCTTTGGTACTGATACTCGTGACATCGTCTACAAGTGCCTTCGAATTGCACGACACAATCGGTATGAATATCGTTGGCGGCTATTGGAAGGCCTTTCGGTAAGGTTTCGGCGGGACTTGTTCGGTAGGTCGATGCAATGAGCTATACGGTGTCGATATGCAAGCAGGGTACTTCTGGTGCCAGTCTCTTGGAGAATCGTTCACGAGGATCCATGAAATTATCCGTCAGGTTTTTCAAGACCGTATTGGAATAGCGGCCTTCCGAGAGGTGTTCATTCGGCGTGTGGCAAAGTCCAGATCGTACGTTGGTTGCGGTATGGGGCAAAGGGGGCATATCTTGGTCGTCGGCTTGTTCACTTTCCAAATGTCAGTCATATTCTGCTTCAAAACCGTCTGACCTGATCTTGATACTGTTTATGCAAAGCGACCTTGCATAGGGTCATTCCAGCATCCTGAGTTGCAACTTGCACCGCAGAAGCTTCTCTTGACGAGGTCTCAAGGGGCTGGAAGACTGGCAGTCCGGTATCGTTGGGATTGACGCGGTGCATGTTCGCGGCTGAATATCCGGTAAATAATTTGCGGTATCATATGAGTAGTGAGCATGAATGCAGCGATTGCATGGAGACTTTGCTAACTTCACAGCTTGTCTACGCGTCTGAGCATCAACGCGTTAGAGTGGGTCTTGACATGGTGAAATGTCGAGGCGCGAATCACGTGGTCACGTGGCAGCTTTGGCAAGTCGAAGCTTTACACAACCTGAACTCATTTGACGACTGGAATATTTTTGACAGTCACTCCGCCACAACAGACGCACATCGGTCGAGCCCGCTCAAGATTGGACATTACATTCGTCGACAGAACCCTTCTGCAGAGCATACTAGAAACACATAGGTGAGGATGCTAGCAATTTCGCATCACGAGACAACTGACGTTGGTTGTTAATACCAGCCCCAGCGACAAGTCAATATGCCCTCTATCCCGCACTAGATCACAGTCAATATTTTGGTTGCGCCAAGGGTTTGACACTAGCCCCGATGATATTGCTTTCGCGGCCGACTTAGCACCAAGCGCAAGGTCATAGAGCTGTTACTCCCAGTCACGAGCTACTTCGTGAATGGGTATTCCATGCTCCCCGTCTAATAGCAATATTGCCTTAAAAGACTGGCACACCAGAAGTCTCTTCGTTCATATCTCCAATATTTATCGCCTCTCCGCCAACAGCCTCGACCCTCGAACTACACAGTCATCTGAGACGTTTGGCGATTGGCAACGGCTCCTCCACTGAACACGCCGACCTCCGCAAGGCTCCATCGAGACACTACCCGCGAACCTTCCGATCCGCCAACTAAAGCCGAACTGGTCGTTTCCCAATCTGCCGCAGGGCTTGTATACTCGGCGTGGTTATCGCCATAGCTTTAGTGATGAAGCTGATGCCGTCACATTCGAATACAAGCATTTACATGTAGCGACTACGACTGATGTCAACAGAGCAGTCAGTTCTAAAACGCCCCACCCGCTGAGATGAGATAGATACTGAAGCCTAGAGGCCCTCAACTGTCGAGCTGCTCTGACATCCGTGTCCAAGGCTTATTCTTGTGACCCACCAACCGATCAACGGCTGACGCCAGGTGGATCGCCAACAGAGACCTATACTTGGAATTGCCTTATCAAGAGGATAAAGGGCGTATTCTTGGTTCCATTTGTTTAAGCCTGAGCTTTATGTCAACCGATTGCGGTCTGTTGAAAGTAGAGCTCAACTGGGGATGTATTCCACACAGTTACAATGGATCTACAACAGGAAGACCTTCTTTCTCGGACCGCCTACTGACTTTCCCAACAAAGTGAGAAAGGCATTATCGAGTACTTGAAGCGCTGCTCCCCACTCAGGATGACATCTCCTGAGTCCGATGAGGAACCGAGTCATTCATCAACGATCAACACAGGTCAAACCTGGGGAGCTTAGAAGGCTGAATCATGCAGTTTTCCAGCCCTTAACCTGTTGATATTGCTGAGACTTCAGAGACGAACAACCAAGCTTCTGTCATGGCTACGTTGACCTGTGATGATAACGCTCGCCAAAGCCTTCAGCGCCGTCTTCAGGTTTGTCGATTGGGTATGTCTACGCAGTTATCCATCTAAAAATCATCAACTGACCCCGAAGCTTTACAGTCTTGCTTGAACAACCGTATAACACCAGCGCCAATCGATTCTTTCCCTCGTCCCTCCGAATACCGTATGCAGCCTACAAATTCTGTGTCCCCAACAGGAAGCAGCTCAGTCACGCCCCCTCTTCTCGCGCATCAAGAAAACCACGAATGTGTCGAACAGTCAAGAGCTTCCCATTACATACCCAGACAAGTCTGAGACCTCCCTGCTGTGCGATCTACAAGCTGGAGCCTTGAATTTATCTTTGAGCTGCACCCAGCTGCTTAAATGAGATATGATTGCCACAGGCTCCTCTTCCATGCGCCTCTTGCATCGCTGTGCTGTCACCCTGGATCAAACTTCGCTTTCGTTCTCATCAATCTCATGTCACAACCCGCTTGACAATACGGGGCTTATAAAAACCTATCTGTCTAGGCGCTCGGAGACTTATAAGTCCGACATTTCGTTTCTATTGAGAAAACACGAATGCTACGGAGTGGTGATCACGGCTGAGGATGTCAATTGGTAAGAGAGGACGGCGACCGAAACTGATATTTTCTCACCATCCTAACAACGTCTACAGCTCTCATCCTGCGCTCGTTCCAAGATTCGCCACTGCTTCCCCAATCGTTGCTCTTGTCTCCATCCACCTTCTCACCGTTGCTCAGAGTATCCCATTCACCTCCTCCAATCTCAATAGTCGCTGCCGCCCTCTTGGTGTCTGGTGACTAATCCCCGTTGCAGTGCATTCCAACTACGGCCACCCTCTTGAGTTGAAACATCCAGAGGAACTTCAGATCAACAAATCTCATGATGACTCTCGTCCTTTTGTGCGAATTACAGCATCGGTCCCTCGAAAGCAGCTGCTGGTGGATCGTTTTGCTCTGGGAAACTAAAGGCATGATAATGCTGTAGCTCACTAGACACCTCTAGTCACGGATCATCTGGAATGTGAGCTGAAGCTGTTGGAGCGTCGAAGACCTCCATCAACTGTCTCTTACGAATCGCCACCATCACCTGTCTCCCAGCCTTCCTCCTCTATCAAAGTAACTCGATCGTCCAGGATGTTTTTCAGTTCCAAGGCCGCCTCTCGAGCTGTAGTGCATGATTCAACTTACGATGAACTGCTTTCATTGACTAATATCTCATAGCTACTCACCTCCATTTGATTCTGAAAAGTCGATTCATAACGGAAAGCGCCCTGTCATCTTCTGAACCGCGAACGTTTCACACGACAAAAACATTATCCCGAGACATGTGATGCGACAACTTCACAAATGATGGCTGGCTCTAAATGTCTCCCTTCAACGCACAATACAAGTAATAACGGACTTGTTCACTATGTGAATACTCACAAACAACCTTGTCCGAGGGATTTGAAGCTCCATCATGCTCCCTTCCATGTCAATTTTCTCGGCATTAGATGTCACGATCTATACTGAACGGAAAGTTCTCCGAGTGGAACGGTCTACGCCGGTAGTCATTACCGCGTCGTATAGACGACAAAGCGGGCTGGTCTAGCGGCATGCTGTTTGCCGTTCTCGTCTCCATCGTTTTTCATTCTCCGTTGTGCTCACTCAACCATTCGCCGCCAAGAAAAGTCATTTTTTGTCTATCGACGACTATTTGTTGCCACACTGTTTCTGGCGCTGTAACGGGGCCTTGGACGATAGCATCAGATACGTCAGATCCACCAGCAGACGCTAGCATCTGTTGTTTTGCCTTAACTCAACGAAACTAGACTATGAGAAGTTGAAGAGCATCAAGGGAGGAACTACCATTGGTGAGTGCTAATGTTCAGACTACGACAAGGAGTAACGCAGCCTTCAATTTCCACAGAATATTCTCGTCTAACCGTACCCATTCTTCACGCAAGCAAGACTTTGCGCTCTTCAATAGCTTTCGCGTCGACTCAGGATCCTCGTCAACCTCTCACTGCTCAACTACAAGCCATAAATTCCGTCAGCCGCCGAATGACTCTGAGATTCCCTTTCACATCAAGGACGCTGAGTGGGCTGAATTGCATCCAATTAGAGGACCTCTTTGACACGTACGAGTCACGAATCTATACATAAGAGAGGAGGTGGATCGGAGACTTTGAAACTGTGAACATTTCCGACATGACTGTTCCTGCCTCTCGCATCTCATCGCTCAGTTTCCAACCTTAAGACACCCTACAACTACCGTCTTAGCCGCAGACGCCTTGCAACTCTCGCCCTCCTACTCCCCCTTCTCCCCGCAGAACCCCAACCTGCAAGATGTGTAACCGCGGCTCATTACAAATGATGTGTGACACGATTTCCAGCCCTGTCTGTGTTGGTGTTCCTTCACCAGTGGCAGCATGGGTGCGTGTGAGATCAAGATCGATGACCTTTTGTTTGCGTGGCCATGAGCTCCGTCACCTTGTTTTTTGTCACTCATCAAATATGCAAATCCTTTGCAGGATCTGGAGGTCAGGCCATCCGGTCGACGAAAAGTTAACGTCCACCTCGATACCGTCAGGGCTTGCGACAGAGAAAAGGGTGTGGTTGTCGCCTCCGCCGACAATGATCAACGACAAACCGCCCCCATCATCGAGAGGCACGTGCGAAGTCAAGGACCTTGTATATGTCGAGTGGCTCAAGGACGACCACGTTAGGGACAACCGTTCTCCGCATTTTGAGATAAGCCGCAGCAGACTATCGCCGTCGTGTCCATCGCAGTTCCCACGCTACCCCAAGAAACCCAAACCCATAACGAGAAGGTGAGTACCACCTCATGTTCAGCCGTTGCGGTTACTCCTTGAAGGTCACAAGCCCAGTCTTCCATCAAGGCAGAGCCAACTCGATTTCCCAGCTTTCGGCGAGCATATCAGGCCTGGCATACCCAAGATGAAGTGGTGCGTTATGTAAGCGTATGCGCTCCCCGAAAGACATGATGTTGTTGCCAATCATTGGCTCCTGTGGTGAAGTCTAACATGAAATAAGGCTCAATGCAGTCTCTTGATCTTCGGCGCCGCGACACAACAAACGCGCAGAAATTCTAAACTACAATCGAGCCAGGAAGAAGCATCACATCATGCATTTGCTCGCGGTAAAACAAGGAGGTGCCCTGAGTCACTCAAGCCCGGGCGTTATTCGATACGTCTGGACTCACATCCAGACCTTCCATGCGTCTCACTCGAGCATGCTTCTGGGGATGACTGCTGCCTATAAGGTTAAGCCTTAGGCTGCGAACGCAGATAATGAATGACAACACGATATCTTGAGTATGCTTCATTGAGGCTAAAGAGAGAAGTCTGATACATATTGGTTTGGACTTCACGGAATATTCTTCCTCGGTCATTAGGGAGCCACTGACGTTATTCTGATTGTCATCACAAGAAGATTGGCCTTCCTTATGTCCTATCCGAACTTCATAAACTCATTCGAAAGATGGTGCGTTCGATAGACTGAGATGGAAATCGCATGAGAGCATTGGTTGTATTGATGGCGCTTACGCGGAAACGAGGAGGCCACATTCGTGCCTCGAGGGGCTTTTCACACTTGGACGCAATGAAATGCTATTTGATACAGTCGGGCTTCAGGCAGTCAGCTTTACTAACTTATTCTCGCAGTTCTAAGTATTCTTCGAGCCCTGTCAACCAAGCCGATCTTGACTATACTCATCTGCGACCGCGCGATTCCCTCTTCGACATGCGACCTAGCTCCATTAGCAGGACTAGATGCTCAATCTCAGACTTTTCACGGCGACATTGATAATCCATCACTCTTAACGCGATCGTGCTATATTCCTGGCGGCTGTTGGACACCCTCGATAATCCATCAGAACCTGTCGTCCTCTGGCCTCGACCATCTGTTCCGGGGATTCCACACTGCGATCGTTGTTTCTACACCCTGGAGCCATAAGATTCTGCATCAGCTTACCCTTCATCAACCATGTTCTGAATTCGCCTACGCGGTCATGCCTAACCTCCGAGGATGCAGATCAGCGGAGTGGCCGTAGTGGGGTTTGTCATTGGAGACTCAAGACATTTCAATGATTTTATCCACGAGTACAGCAGATTTGGTTGCAGAGCCATGTCTCAACAATTGGGCAACATACCAGCACTAATTACACGGTAGTCGCCACAGTCAACTTTTGATCCTTGTAAGTCATGGTCTCTGACACGGTACCCTGGACGTTGAACAACAAGAAGACCCCCCCAGGTGATCACCCCAGGGTTCATTATCATCCTTTGTTTCCTTTGGCGGGCGCTATAGGCTATGTACAATGATGAAATGTGGATGAGGCAAAGTAGGAAACGAACGATGGTCGCCCCAGCAGTGTTGTCAATCACTGTGTGCCAATTGAGGAGAATGGAAGCCGGCGCTTCAAGGTTGCTCATATGTTCCTATTCAAGAGTGCTTGTCAACTTGTCATCCTTGGTGGTTTAGGAGGCTTCAACTCTGGGGGTGCCTATAACTACGGTAAAGGCACTGGCAGCGGCATTAATTATGTTTAGGCTACGTAGACTTAGCCACCTTTAACAAAAGTAAAACCTTGGGAGAGGGCAAACTGCGTGCTCCAACACAATGACAGTCAAAAGAGAGCAGAAAGAGACAAAAGAGAAGGGTCTGGCCGGGGATTGAACCCGGGACCTCTCGCAAGCTGAGCTGTAGGGTTCTCCCTAAGCGAGAATCATACCACTAGACCACCAGACCGACTTGGAACAACAGAGGCACTCAGTGATCCTGTTGTTGGTGCGGGAGACACAGTTGGGCGTTTTCTCCTGGCGAGAGACAGAAAGGACAGGGACTCAGTGGGGGATCTTAGCTGAGGTCAAAGCAAAGGCAAACGGCAGCGGAAGTCGAAAGAACATTAAAACCACTTCACATTGAAGTTACTCATACTTAATTACTCGTAGCAGTAGCTTATGTCTCTGGCCCAGTGGATGATTCAGACATGGAAAATGATGGGCATTTGTGTGATCCAGCCCGCATGTTCACACTGAGGCGCGTTAGCCATGTCTCAGCCGAATGTGAGATTAGACACCGTAGGGCATAACTAATCACAATCCGTGAATAACTTAGCTCTCTGTTATTCTCGAATTGAAAGAGTCTTTGATTCCAAATTTAGGATGAATAAAGAGGTAACAAATTGTGTGAAAAACTGTGAGTATGACGCGTGGTACTGTTTGTTCGCTCTCCAGTCGGTCTGTCCGATGCTAGCTAGTGAAGCTGGAATGAAGGAGGAAAACTCAAGACGCGTCGCTTACCGAGCTCTTGATTGGTGGAAGTACGAGATGGACAAAGCTCAGTGGCTTTTACTGGGTCTCAACTAAAGCCATGCCAACACAACCAAGTTAGGAATAGCCAAAGGCACAAAAACAAGACAGTTAACATGTTCACCAAGTGACCAGATGAGTCAAGCACGTAAAGGATGAAACAGTAATGAGATTCAAGCTAATCTAAACTATATCACAGTCTCTAATAGTAAGTAGATTATCATGTGTATTAGGTTGGTCTCTCTAAAGACCTGTCACCACCGCAATGCGCAATCGCGTCAAGGCATCGCGTCTCAGACTCCATCGTCTAGATCTATGCAGTAGTGGTGGTAGCTGCCTCAGACGTAGAGGACTCCGACTCAGTTCGTGTGACCGTGGCAAAGGTCGTGGGCTGGCTGGAAGTCTCAGAGGTGGTGGAGGCAGCAGAGCTAGAGGTCTCATCAGAAGAGCTAGAGGTTTGAGAAGCTGAGGAGGATGTCTCGGCGGCTGAAGAAGATGTTGTGTCAGCTGCAGAGGTGCTGGAGGCAGCCGAGGAAGAGGTCTCAGCAGCTGAACTGGAGGTTGCAGCAGCAGAGGAAGAGGTTTCAGCAGCTGAGGAGGATGTAGCAGTAGCAGAGCTAGAGGTCTCGGCGGCAGAACTGGAGGTTGCAGCAGCTGAGGAAGAGGTTTCAGCAGCTGAGGAA